TATATATATATATATATATATATATATATATATATATATATATATATTTATATATCAAGCCTTGCTTCTCAGATCATGAAACAGCATCTTAAACCCATCATGCCACACCTCTCCGATGGATGCCTTTATACGCTTATGGACCATCCTCAGCTGTGAGACCTTTGGCAGCCTGTACTCTCCACAGTCACCCTTCAGTCTCATGGTGCAGATGTGGCCGCTCCGTATTGCTGATTGCCTGTGATGCACTAACGCCGTCCTGGGAGGAAGTTCTGATGGGGCTTAGCGACGGCCCCCTGGTTTGAAACATGGGAGGTGGACTGAACCATCTGTGTGGCGCTGATGGGGGGTGTGCCGCAGATAGGACCATCTGTGAGGCTCTGCCACAGCCATCTGTGAGCTGTCACAGTAGGGGAAGGCCATATTCCTGACTGAGTAGAAGGAAGGGGAAGAAAGGAGAGTGAAGAGAGGAGGAACACATTGCTTCTTATCCAAACAGTCTATTGTGGGAGAGGAAGTTGAATTTTGCAAAGCAAATGTGTAAGGTAAAAACTAATTGTACTGAACTGTATAAATCCTACGTTAAACCGCCTGCAGCAGCCAACACCTGTGAGTTTAAATGTTTTTCTGAGCTCCACAGTACCTGGAAGTCCCGCAGAGAGATCTGTCGAGCAGCTGTTTCAGAAAAACAGGTTCTCCGAGACATTATGCCCAATCAGTTCTACTTACGTTAGTTTAAAACCAAACATGCAACAGTAGCTGCTCTGTCGCTAATGTGTCATAGCTGCAGGATATTTACACGGCGGGGCATGTCTCGCTGTGTTAGAGTCTAACAGCTGCGTCTGTGGTCTTGCAGGTGAGACATGTTGGAGCAAATATAGCAGGTTAATGGCTCAACACTGGCTCAGATAATACGTTTCGCTGGAAAATAAAGTGTCTGGGGCTACACGACTGGTGGGCGGCTCCACACATAAATACACCTGCGCAGGGCGTGCATGAGCATGCAAACCCACAGGAGCCGATCAAACCATCAGATGTGGTTTGTGTGTGTGTGTGTGTGTGTGTGTGTGTGTGTCTGTGTGCTCAAAGACTACAAAGGCTTCTGACTGCAGAGGCGCAGACGCGATCGCCCTCCCCTCGTCTCCCTCCACCCAAACGGCGCAGTTAATAATTGACGAGCTGCTGCTGGTGTTTCCTTACCCTGGTTCTCCTGGTGCTGAATGTGATCACACTGTGGTGGATCAGAATCAGAAGACGGGGATGAGTTCAGGTTGATGCAGAACATGTAGGGGTACATGTGGTTTGGAGAGACAGGCTGATGTGAGGGCAAACACGCACACACACACACACACACACCCACACCCACACACACACACACACACACACACACACACACACACACTGTCCCTCGGGAAGCTGGGGCTACAGCTTGAAGCATCTTCTCTGTGCACACAGCTGTACCAGTACAGACGCCCTGTGACAACAACAGTCCTCTTCACTCTATCGAGACATCTAGATCACCTATTTCTCTCTGTGGTTTTCTAGCAGACAGGAATATTCAATTTCTCACCGCCTCACGTTAAAACACCTCCTCTTCATCAGCTTGCCGAGTCGACAAGATTGAACAGAAAGAGCAGTGGGAAAGTTCAATTCACAACTTTAAGACGACAAGTTGCAGTTCTTACAAATTCCCTTTCCACCAACATCCCCCCACCTCGAACCGCCCCCCCCCCCCCCCGACACACGCCCCCCCCCCCCCGCCATTCTGCCTCCCTTCACAGCTACCCAAAATTCTAATGTGTAGCCTAAAGAGGGGAGAGAGGGAGCTGTTTCTCCATTGGCGTGTGTCATGTTTTGCTGTTAATTGCCTCTCCTTGGCTATAGCTCTGGCCCCACTCCTGCAGCTTTAACAGCCCACTGCAGTTGCATCACAGCGCTATGTTGTGTACTCTTGCTATTTTGTTGAATCGGACGCTTGGAGAAACTCCAGCTTTGCATGTGTAAACATCAGAAGTGCAGCACAAACGAAACACACGCACACAAAAAAGACAGACTGAGAGAAGGTGGACTCAGACTCTTGGTTGTTTGTACCCTGCAGTGTTGGAGTGAGCCAGTGTGTCAGTCTTTGCCTGTGGGTGTAACTCTGTGTGTCTGTGTGTTGGGTGAATGAGCTCTTGGTCTGACTTGCGCTGCGTAGCTCTACGTGGAAGCATCTCCATCTTGTTTACGCCTGTGTGTGTGTGTGTGTGTGTGTGTGTGTCCGTGTGTCCCCGGCCCCCACCTTCCCCCCAGCAGTGCTGTCCAAGATCCATCGGAGTGTGACACCGCCTCAGAAAGTTCACTGCGAGGATTTCATTAGTCTTCTGGAGTGAGCACTCGATACGTAATTAATTAACCAGCGTTTAATCCTCCATTTCTTCTCACAATTGCCAAGGCCCCCACATCAATGCTACGCAGCCTCCACCGATTGGATTAGTGCAGCCTTGTGTTGAGTATTGTGTGAGTAAGGCTAGACCTAGATTGGATGGGTATGCTCGACCCCCCCCCCCTCCCCAACTTCAAAACCACCCATTGAAGCGACGGTGACATCAGGCCTCAGCATTGACTGTCTCATCCTGTACTATCCTGCAGTGAAGACAGGCGGCCAATGAACAAAAAGGATGCACGCATCACACGGTCTGCTCTTGTGTGTGTGCGTGATCGTGAATTTGCAAACTGTGTGTTTGCTTGCATGCGTAGAAAAGGGCCTCTGTGTATCCGCAGATCGCTGTCTCTGTGACTACATGTGGGCGCGTTTGTGTATTTTGTGCAAGCATATGTGTGTGAGTGTACTTCTGTGTGCCTTCTTTTTTGCTGAGAGCAGATGAGTTTGATGTGATCGTTTGCGGCAGCATGGCCTGCAGCCGAGAACGTAGTGAGCTGGATGATTACATGAGCTAAAGAGGCAGAGAGAGATAAAGAGAGAGAGAGAGATAAAGAGAGAGAGAGAGAGAGAGAGAGAGAGAGAGAGAGAGAGAGAGAGAGAAGAGAAATGAAATAGAGCAAAAGGGAGAAGGGGTAGAACGAGAGGGATGATGAGCTAAACAGGGCAGAAGAAGGACAAGGCTGAATTTACAGTCAGGGCAGACATGCACAGAGAGATTTCATCAAGACTTAATCAACCTTCGCCTCAGTCACAACAGAACATCGTCCCGTCACCTCCTTGCTACTCGGAGTGTTGTGTGGATCTAACGTGAGCTCTCAGGGGGAACATCCTCCTCATTCAATTTGAGGAATTCAAAATGCACTTTCAGGTTTTTGTCTTATTGAAACTATCGGTTCTTTGTTCACCCCAATGCATCCAGGTTCATGGGATTGGTGGTGACGTTATTATGATCACATTATGATGATGGAGGACAGGTTTGTTCAGCAGCAGTCAGTGTTGCTTTGTGTCTGCGTAGCTAACAACCTAGATTTTTTTTCCACAACTCTGCTGAACTATGCTTATTTTCACCCCAAATTGCAATGAATCCACTTATCACTGCTGTAATAATTGCATGTTAACCTAAACTTAAGTGGATCTGAATCATTTATTTAAAATGTTTGTGTTTTGAGAGAGGCTAGTGGTGATTACTACACAGCTTTGAGTAGATCTGGGGTGAGCCAGCTTTGCCCTGGCCTTGTTTCTGAGGGTCACCAGGGTCTCTAAACGCGGAGGCGCCTCTTGTCACGGGTAATTAGGGCACACGGTGATGACGGGTATTAACCAGCCCGTAACCCCAGCTCCGTGATGAGGGCTTCACGCTCCACGGCAACCCGACGGATGGCAATTTATGCTCGTCATTTAGATCATAGCTGCCTTTGTCTCACTTCTTCTCTTTCTGGGACACATCCGCACTGTGTCCATCCGTCTATTCTCTCATTTTCATGCCGTGTGCAATGCCCTCTCTCTCCCTTCCTATCGGCCTTTCTGATATGCCTCTTCAGGCTCCTGTTGCCATGCCTTTGCTCTGTTTCATTATGCATGGCCACGCATTGTCTCTTTTGCAGCAGGGCATTGTGTATTAATTAAACCCACAGAATTTGACAATGTTGGTGAGGCCGCTTTCAAAGTGTTGCTTTTCAAGCTTTACAGCGCTCTTGATGCTGGACTACAGACATTTAAACTATCTCTGTACATGATATTTGTCCAAATGAAACTGAAACATATCTTTACAGATAATCAAAATGATACAAATGCTATTAACCACTAACACCGCTCTTTAGATGCGATGTTAGCTTAAACACCATATGCCACTCTGAAACTAGCTCTAAATGCTAGCACAGTGATCTGTTGGAGCTATTTCTTATCTGAGAGTTACATTAGGAGAAATCTTTCAGTCTTTATCTGGAGTGTAGCTCGCTATGGACTGTCTCATTGAGCACAAGGGGATTTTCCACTCTCTTGATTTGATAAACAGGTTAAATGAGGCTGAGGGAGAGGACGTGTAGGGGCTGCGTGACTTGTGGTGTGTTTATGACTGTGGTTGGAGTGTGTGTTGTATCCTAATGTTCATTTTACACGTGCCTCAAACACACACACACAGACGCTCAGAGTGAGGACACTTCTACCATTGGTT